TTTTTTTGGATATTGATTATTGTATATCCTTTTGTCCTATATTGAAATGGGGCTTTTGCTAATTTACAGTATAATTAAGTACAGTACAGGACGCATTAAACATTAAAGGATAAACACATAACGCTACATACTTGTAAGTAATTTAGTATTGTTGACCACTTTTGTCCCAGAGCATCAAAGTTAACACGATGTAGTTTGAATCCTACATGAGACCAGAGGCCGACCTAAGGATATCCACGGTTCAGTGTACAGCCTTTGTTCAAGTTTTGAAAACGTCTTAGAACACCGATCAACCTCAAAAGTTTTACCATTATTTTGATGTTTTTAAACTTTTTTAAAGCATTCTTAAAAGGTGTTACAAGACCAAAGTCAATGTAACTAGAGTTAAAATTTACTCTAGTTACATTGACTTAGTATTGTAACACATTTTAAGAATGTTTTAAAAACGTTTAAAAACATCAAAATAACGTTATAATAACGTTTCTGAATGTTAAATTGAAACATTATTAAAACGCTCTAAAAACTTCACATAATTACGTTTTTAAAACGTAATATTATAACGTTTTGCAAACGTAATAAAAACCCTTTGTAAACGTTTTAAAACGTGATACAAGAACAAAGTCGATGTAACCAAGGTTATGTTTACGTTATAATAACGTTTTTAAAACGTTACATTAAAACGTTATTTAAACGCTTCCAAAAATCCACAAAATTACGTTTTCGAAACGTTTTACTAAAACGTTTTTTGAACCAAACTCATACGTTTTTATAACGTTTTTTTAACGTTAAATTGTTAGCTGGGATGTTCACCGTCAGATTGTTCGTTAATATTCATCTCCCCAGAGCATCCCGGCTCTACGTCATGACTAACCTCATCATATAGAACAGATTCATTACTCTATGGTGTTGGCTGGAATGCGTACCAGGTTGTGGAGTCAGGTGGAGTCAAAAACCTCGCTTGAATCTTATGAAGGAGTGTCATCAGTCGTCGAGAGAAGGTATATTTCACTGTCTGAAAGCCACGGGCAATGCTTCAATTCACATCGGTGTACCACTTTCTCTTTTCCCAGTTTGTTGCGTACCACATATACTGGGCTGTCCTCAAACGGTTGCTTTATTACTAAATATGGCTCACTCTCCCAATAGTCCTTTGAATCCTCGCGTACTAATCAGTACATGCTGCCCCACGCAGAGAGGTTTCTCAAATACCTTCTGAGACTCTCCACTAGTAGTGGCTATCTGTGCTAAGTGTTTACTCGCTATCCTGCGGGCCATCTTAAGCTTGTACTGGTGTTGAGTGACATACGTTGCTATAGTTCCATCATTAGTGGATCTGGCTTCCCCGCTTAAGACCAAACTATGTGGACGAGCGTTTCTTCCGAACATTAAGAAGAATGGTTCAATTCCGGTGCTGGAGTGTGACGTGTTGTTGTATGAAAACACCAGGCTAGGAAGTTATTCAGGCCACTTCAGCTTGGCCTCCTCCGAAAGGGTAGACAAGAGGTTGTGAATGGTCTTTTTGAACCTCTCGCATTGCCCATTTCCTTAGGGGTGGGGTGGTATGGTGTAGTGTGAATACGTTTAATGCCGTAGTGGTTACACAGATCTCGTACAACTTGTGCCTCAAAGTTTCTGCCTTGGTCCGAGTGTAAGCGCATTGGACATTCATAAGGAGTAAGACATAAGACATACTTCACTAGGGCCTTAGCGATCGTAATAGCATGCTGATCTCTAGTCGGAATTGCCCACGCATATTTCGTAAACACGTCAGTCAGAACCAAGATGTTTTCGAAACCGTCTTTTGATGGTTCTACTACAGTGTAGTCCATAGCTATAGTCTCCATTGGAGCTGATGCAGTAATTGTCCTGTCAGGAAAAATTTGGTCCGGGGCAAAAATCCGTCCGGCGGACTGATTTTTGCCTCATAATTACTTGCCAAATGTAGTCCACATAAGCCAAAATCAGTCCGCTGAAATTTACTTTGCTGCACAGCAGACTTGGAAATATTACTTCCGCTATAGGTTTTGGCGGAATGAACAATTCCTAAGCTTTTACAGACGCGATATGCTTATCAAGCCAATCACAATGATGTCCCTAGCTGAAGCCTTAATTTGCATACATCACCCTATATAAGAGTTTAAGATCGGCATGTACTTGTGTTGATAGTAGAGCCTTCGCGGTTACTGAACATTGGAATAACAGTAAGGAAAGTCTTAGCAATGTACACGGACATTGTACATTACCTCACATTGAGAGAAAATTAGATTTCATATTCATTACTCATACCGCCTCCACGCCTCATATATTTGGTAGAAAGAGGGTGGGTGGGTAGGTGAACGACGTGAAAGTGTTTTTGAAATTTAACATGTAGATTCTGCTACGCTAGACACAGCACAGTGGTTTCAAACCACCAATCACAATGATGTCCATCGCTGAAGCCTGATTTACAGACGTCACCCTATATAAGAGTTTAAGATCATGATGTACAGTATTTGGCTTTTGTTGATAGCAGAGGCTTCGAGGGGTTTTTTTTTTCAGTGACAGGACCAACTACCATACCCCCTTCTAACTCCACTCCTCATATATTTGGTGGAAAGAGAGGGTCGGTGAACGTCGTGAAAGGGTTTTTGAAATTTGACATGTAAATTCCGCTACGCTAGCCACAGCACAGTGATTTCAAACCACCAATCACAATGATGTCCATCGCTGAGGCCTGAATTTGCATACATCACCCTATATAAGAGTTTAAGATCGGCATTCGGCATGTACAGTACAGTATTTGTGTTTAGTTGATAGAGCCTTCGCGGTTAGTGAACATTGGAATAACAGTAAGGAAAGACTAAGCTATGTACATGGATATGTATTACCTGTAGTTGTTGTATTTTTAATAGTGTTACAGTATATTTGCTATGAACAATTACACACATTGACATTAAATTTGATTTCATATTCATAACGCATACCGCCTCCACGCCTCATATATTTGGTAGAAAGAGAGGGTGGGTGGGTAAACGTCGTAAAAGGGTTTTTTGAAATTTAACATGTAGTAACATGTAGATTCCTATGGCGCTAGCCACAACACAGTGGTTTGAAACCACCAATCACAATGATGTCCATCGCTGAAGCCTGAATTTACAGACATCACTTTATATAAGAGTTTAAGATCATGATGTACAGTACAGTATTTTTTTTGGCTTTTGTTGATAAAAGAGGCTTCGAGAGTTTTTTAGTGACAAGACCAACTACCATATCCCTTTCTAAATCCAACCCTCATATATTTGGTAGAAGAGAGGGTGGGTGAAAGTGTTTTTGAAATTTAACATGTAGATTCCACTACGCTGATATCAAACCACCAATCAAAATCGCTGATTTCAAACCACCAATCACAATCACAGTGATGTCCATCGCTGAAGCCTGAATTTGCATACATCACCCTATATAAGAGTTTAAGGTCATGATGTACAGTACAGTATTTGGCTTTTGTTGATAGCAGAGGCTTCGAGGCCCATACAAAAAAATTCTATAGAATTCTATAAAAAAAAAAAAAACAATAGAATGTCTATAGCATAATTGTTTAGAAAATCTATAGAAATAACTATAGAAGCCCACTATAAAATGTATATAAAAATCTATTAAAACTATATTAAATATATATTAAAACTATATTAAAAATCTATTAAAACCATATTAAAAATCTATTAAAAATAAATAAAACTATAACAAATTTATAACAACTCTATAAAAAATATATTAAAACTATATTAAAAGACTTAAAAATCTATAAAATTTATATAAAAAACTATGAAAATTCTATTAAAAATCTATAGAAAGTCTATGAAAATTTTATATAAAAAAACCTTTAAAAAACTATAGAAAATCTATAAACAATTTTATAAAAACCACTTATAAATCTATAAACATTTTATAGAAAAAACCTATAAAAGTACAATAAATATGCGAATAGAAATTCTATACAATTGTATAAAAAGTGTATATAAATTGAATGATTTTATATAGAAAATCTGTGTTTTCTAGAAAAAAAAATATGTCGGTGTTGTGTGTTTTTGGATAATTCAACTGGTCTTCAACTTTAACTGGCCCCAATTCCAATTGGTTTGCAATGGTCCCAGTTCCAATTGGTAACAATGGCTTTAATCAACTTCTGCAGACTTACAAAATACACTATGAGTTCATATAAACAGTAATTTCTTTAATTTAAAACACCAACAAACATCATACGGTAGGGACATTACTTCCCTACGTTCTCATTTACTAGCATACCCCTTCATATATTATCGTTTTGCTAATGTCTTACTGCTGAACATACTGTACCTCAAATTTAAGGCTATTCTACAGTTCTTTGCTTTTAAAGTCCGGTTTAAATAAGCATTTTTTTTTCGTAATGTAGTCCTATTACAAGAGTTTATTATATAAACCAACATTAAAGAACCATTTGTGTTACAGGTGTGCATAAACCAGCATTTTTTGTGATATTGCAACAGCAACTGTCTATAACCATGCCTTTTCTTGTCCGATGGTACCAAGCTAAATTAGTATGAATTATACCGTTCAACAAATCTAGTTTGAAATATTAAATCACTGTCACTTGTTCTAACATTTCTCAGAGTTTCACTCTTGCTGAAAGATATAACAAAACAAAATCTTTAAAAAGAATAATAATGGTAAACTTATACAGTATATAGAGCGCATATTATAGAAACCGCTATTAAATGTATTACATCCCTTTATTATTGTATTAAAATAGGAGTAATATACATATATGTAGCTAATGACAGACTAGCAGTTACTTCTTTTTTAATCAAAAGAAAATTATTATTTTTTTTTAGTTTTCAAACCAGCTTAGCCTACATTACAATTTCAATATCCCTTAAGGCCTATATAGGCGTAATATATACACATTAAATTTGATTAAACTGTATCGTGTAAACGACAGCATCATCTATAGCATGTTGTAATAATTAATAGTACAGGACAGTAAAAATAAAACATCAACAAAACATTATATTCACCTTTAGAATGTCAGGTAATTTTCTGTTCCTTCACAGATACGTCTTCGAACAAACATTAATGCTTTCCTACTACAATGATTGAGTTGACTGGATTTAGTTTTCACTTACAGTAGTTACCGAGACTTGAGTATCCTGAAATAAAGTCACCATTTATGTTGTTAGTATAGGCCTTTTGATTACATTAACTTTCTCCAAATAATGATACAATTCTTTTTTTACACCCCCCCCTCCCACCACGGTTAACCGTAAACCGATTATTTTATTAAAGCACTATAGAATTTCAGGTAATTTTCTGTTCATTCACAGATACGTCTTTAAACAAACATTAATGGTTTAAACTACAAGATTCAGTTGACCGGATTGAGTTTTCACTTAATTACAGTAGTAACTGAGACTTGAGTATCCTGAAATAAAATCACCACTTATGTTAGTATAAAATAGGCGTAGATTTGATACATTAACTTTCTGCAAACAATGATACAATTCTTTACACCACCCCCTCCCCGGTTAACCCTAAACAAATTATTTTATTAAAGCATCATGGACGTAGATTAATGAGGACACGTCCCAAATGCAATTTACCACTCTTCTTATGGCATGCTAGACTATGGGACAATTAACTTACAGCTTGGCCAGGCCAACAAATGGGCCAGGTTCTAGGCCTAGCCCTATATCCTAAATGGCCTAGAGAGAACAGAGAACCTCAGTTCTGTCTGTCTCTGTACGGCGGCTAGGCTAGTATTACCGGTACAGCTAGGCCTTAGGCTAGGCCAGGCCTCTTCATTCAAGCCTTCATCTACACTACTACTAGTCCTAAGAGGAGGCTAGCGGTCTGCTAGAGTAGTAAACTAACTGAATAATAAAGCAAAACCAACTCTTACCACTTGATAGTGAATACAGTACTGCTAAAATACTTCCAATGAGTATGTTTATAACTGCCTAACATCATGAAATCTAGAGAAAAATTCAAAATACTACAGCTTCCGTTGGCTCTACATGAAGTGACAATTCAATCAGCTGTGCAATTCGATTTGAGCAATTCAAAACTAACATTAATTGGTTGGTAGGTGGCCTATCACAGTAAACAGGTTAGGCTGTTGATAACATTTTGCTGTCAATCTTAAAGCATTGTTGTTAAGTGAATAGGTGAGGGATAAGTTTAGGGGACTACAGACCTGCTCCCCCACCCCCACCCATAAAGTTGTCATAAGGCTACCAATGTATTAGCGGTTCCAGAAATTTTTCATAGAGTTTGAATAGATTGTATCATAGATATATATATATATATATATATATATATTCTATACATAATTTTTTTATAAATATAATTTTCAAAATAATTTTTAATATTTCATATACCTATACATAATTTTTTTATAAATATAATTTTCAAAATAATTTTTAATATTTCATATACAGATAATCATTTCCATAGCGTTCGTATTCATTTTATATATACTTTCTATAGAGAAACAATTTTACAAATTATAAACGTTTCGATAGTGTTTATATATATTTTCTATAGACTATTAAAAGTTACAGTTTTTAAAAAGACTGCGTTTAGAATATTATACAGTTCTACAGAATATACTATAAATAAATAAAATTATATTGAAATTTCATATATGTTATACTCTATATAGATTTTATATGTTCCTATAGAGATAATCCCTATAAAATTGTTATAATACATTAAAAAAATACAGGTAAGGACTATAATTTTTTTTTATAGAATAAATATAGACATTTTATAGTTTTATTATAGAGAACTTGTCATATCATTTGTATAGAATATTCTATAGAATTTCTATAGA